GAAAGAGCTTGTATGCACATTTCTCAAATAAAAACCCAAGAAATTGTATTAATTTTAGCAATTCTAACTGCATTTAAAATGAAGCGCCTTAGGAAGGTTAAAACTTTAATAATTTCACTTTGTAATGATTGCATAAAGCACCACTATTTAAATCATATTTGCTATCTTTCTTGTTCATTCATCGATAGTAAATACAGTATTATTCATTAGTTCAATCACATTAAGTTAATCTTTCTCTCATTCATAAAGTGCCCTCCTGGTAAACGTGAATAAATGATGGACATTAGGAACTTGAATTGCCCATTGCAGAGATCACTTAGCAGAATACCCAGAAGGAATGAAAACCAACCAGCCTATTCTTCCCCAGCGCGGGTTGGAAACCGAATTAAACCCTTGGACATATTTCCATTTGACATGAGAATTTGCAAAAGCAAAACGCCTGCTGTAAACAAGTGTTAATACACAGGTTACACTGGAGGCAGATGGTGAAACTGGTACTTTCTTCAACGTTACAAATTTTACAGTGTAAGCTGCGCCGTTTAATCTCCCCACAGACAAACGCTCAGTTTCCATTCTGCTTTTATTCTCACATTTACGTTTTTAAAGCACTTACGTGACTACACATCATTGCTGACGTGGTTCTCGGGAGCATCTAAGAACCAGGACCTTGCCCTCACAGGCTGGGTGGCTAGGAAGTAGATCACAGCCAGCTCCTCGGTGCTTCCCACCTCTGATCCCATCCTCAGACCCAACTTCTTGCTCTCTGGGCAATGTAGATGCCCAACATATTTAGGAATGCTTTCCTGGAGCCAAAGGCCCTCATTAAACCTGTAGCCAGGTACCTGGTATTTTCAAGGATCAACATTGTAGGTTGGCACCTGGATCTCCCACCTCCAAGACACAGGCTTCCTCATTGGGTAAATCTGTGTGTCCTTTTAGTTAAAGCCCACTCTACCCCCAGAAATTTGCACGTTTGGCTTCACAGGGGCAGGACTTGAACAGGAGGAGTCCATCTGCCCCGTTGTACCTGGTGGCTACAGCAGCACTCCTTCAGGGGCAGCTCTGGATTTTGACAACTCCTCGGCGAGACTCCCACCTCCCAGCAAGGAGCCAACCTTAAAGACAGCTTTCCAGACACCCACAGGAAGTCTTTGACCATTTGAGGCATTTTTTTTTAGAAATAGTTATTTGCGTCCGTAAGTGCTTATCTAAGATGCCTACTGGGATTTTCGGAAGTACCTGGAAGCCCAAGTAACTAAGCTTAAAGATCCAGAAGCTCCCGCTGTAACTTGTGTAAAGCACCACACTGCAAGCTAGAGTCTGGAAAACGGCTTCATCATCATGTGCTGTAAAAATCCCAGCCAAAGTCAGAGGGGGACAGAAGCACAGGTAGTCTTTAAGTTTTCAATACTTTTGTTTAAAATAATTTTAAAAAAAGAAACCCAATCAGGTGGTAAGTTTTTATAAGATGTCTGAAAATTCTGTAAGAAGGCATTTTTGCTTGTAGATAAGCTGATTATCACTATTCTATGTTTCTTGCCGTTTCTCTGAAGCATCTTGCACTAGCTACAGTCAGAAACAGGATCAGAAGGAATACTGGTTCTTGGTATTAGACTATTTTCCACCCCTCTTCATTCTCTCCTTCATTTATTTCTAATATAAGAGCTCTCTAGCTCTCCCTCTGCTTATGGCTTCAAGATCATCTTCCTGAAAAAATACTTTTATTATCTGCTCCAGTGCAAGGCTTTCCTGAAAGCATGAATTAAGTAAAACCCAATTGGTATGTTTTCATCATTGTGCATGTATTATCTAAAGAACGGTTTCATTTTGTTTTCATTTGAAAATATATTTGATAAATATAAATGTGTAATTCATCATCTCCCACCCTTCCATCCCACACAATAAAAGCTAGAGGTTTGCCATTGGAATACACAGACCATGTCTTCAAAAATACAATAAATTGAAGGAAAAAAAATCAAGTTCATTCTGGTTAAGAGAGAAGAATACCCTTCTCGTGTTGAGGAAAGGTGTACTGAAGTAGGACATAGGGCTACTTTTCCACAGCTCATAGCACAGACCCGTTATCTGCAGTAAGAGGTGGGTATCCAGTGCCTAGATATAGTCCCGCCAAGGGAAATGCATTCATCAACCAGGGAGTGAGCCGCTTGCTTGGCAGGTGTTACACACAGACCAGATTAAGACACTGCATAGCCTTATCTTAAAACAGGTACATGATGGAGTAAGGCAACAAAACCTCTCCATGTTTTAAAGAGGTTTATAAACCAGGTCATTTGGAGCTGACATGAATAAAGGACGCCCTGTAAGCAGCTCTTAAGCACCTACCTTCAGAAGCATTTCCTCATGTTGCGGATTCTCTGAATCGTAAGGCTCTCTGCGCAGCTTTTCAACCTCTGCAATCAGATTTCTGTACCCCACAATCTGCAGCAGGCATGCCTGAAGAGATACTCCCAACCTGAGGCGGGGGGGGAGAAAGGAGCAACATAATCCAACTCAATCGTATGTACCCATGAAACAGCACTACTGCGTACATACCCGTTTAATTCACAGGAGTAATGTTACATCAACGAATTGACAGTCTAACATTTTAATTACAACAGGAGAATTTACAAGAGATCAATATTACCTTAAACAAGGCCTTGTGAAATGCATAGTCTTATTTAGTGCCTTCCTTAGATGATAAAATTTGGAGTTTTTTAAAGCTTTGAACAGTGAATTTTCACACTGAAATCTCATAATAACTCTACACAGCAGCATTGAGTGCCTGAAACAAGCCCATTACTGAATCTTTCCCCTCATTCAAATGGCAGCTTCTCAAACAATACCCCAAGACCAGAGATGTGAACTTAAAGCGGGGTGAGGGGGAGAGGAAATTCAGCAAAAAGCTAAAAATACTCATTTTGCCTCCATGTCACAAAAGCTAGCACAAAGAAGCCAAAAACCTGAAGTAATATAGTTCAAAGATCTGCCTCTAGGCAGTCGGGTTTTTTTGTCTCACATTAACAATCACTATAATGGCTCTTTTCATTATAATGCAGATTTTACATTTCCTTTTTAGATTTCCTGATGCACCAAAAAAAACCCCAACCAACAAATAAACCAACCCAAAACCCAAACCAAACCTCAAAAAACCCCCACCCTACATGTGGCTTCCAAGGCTTTGAATTACGACAGCTTATTCAGTTTTAGGTTAAGATTTTATACTATTAAATACAAGTTATGCAGTACACAACTGCCATGCATCATAAGAATATTTAATTATATATGGGAATAAATCCTTTAATTTTTAATAATGTCAGAAATTATCTGAACGCTTAATATGAATTTGGAGGGCACAGCTAAATCTGTACCCTCATTCCTCTGTGGAACCCAGGCTGCACTGCTATTAAGATGCACAGGTTCCTCATCTGTCTTGCTTGATATACTAAAACATTTTGTTTATTCCATAATACTGTTAAATTTTCTGAGCAGAAGGATTTTCACTGCTTATCTTTTGGGATTAATCTACAGCATCAGAGATGTCATCATTAGGCCATTTCTCTTGCTGCAATTTCATGCTATTTGTGGCTATAACCCTTTCAGAATAACCTGTGCAGTGTTTTCCCTCCTTTGCTGCTTGGTTTTTTTACATGCTTCACTTGCTATACCCTACAGTTTTACAGAAATGTTGCATTTCAACGAAAGCTGAAAAGCCTGATAAGACTGCATGTGAATTGCTGTAGTGCATTACTAAACCACAGCCATAATGTTTTTAACTACTCTATAACCTCAGAGTAGTTTAGAGCAGAACACCACAGGCAGTGGCAAAGCAGAGCAATTTTATATTAAAAAATAAATATATTCTTAAGTTAAGTTGCACAATATATACAAAGCAAGCCACGTTTGCACTTTATCTAAAGCCAGTCAAATGCTCTGTGCAAACATGGAGGGATGGAATTAGTTTCCCTATTCTCCTTTTCATGAAGGTTTTGCTCTCCTCCTTGCCAAACAGAGGATGCGGGTGAGCTGCTGATGCCCCACTCCTCCTCCCTGCCATCCCTGTGCTGGTGGTGGCACTTCTCAGAGCACAGGAGCAACCTGCCTGGGCTTGCACCCACACCACTCAGCCCAGGTGCTCCATGAGATGGAGACGTGTTCAAAACTGGGAGTATTTAATGGACTGCTTCCATAGTTAGTGTAGACTGCATGTGTCACCTGGTTATTCAACCTACTTGCTCCCACCACTAAATATACACACTTATCTCAGAGGCATTGATAAAGGGAAATTACTATGGGCCTCCTCCTCTTCAGGTCATGGCAGCCCACAGCCTTCAAGAACAGCTCAGTGCAAACAGCCCTGGGATGCTGGTTCAGCTCTGCAAAGATGCTACATTAACAGTAATGACTGTTTACAGATTTGCAGAAACACATATAGTGTGACACATGACCCCTTGTCCTTACCCCAGGAGATTTCAAGTCTCTACTATGCAAGGGAAGGCCGGAGCTTCTGAACAAGACACTGTGAATGCACGTTTTTTATGTTCAAGAGTAGCCAAGCTGATGCATTTTCCTTAATCCTGTCTAAAGAAATAGCTGACCTGCTTTTGCTGCAATTTCTTCAGAAAACTTTAGTATGAAATAAAGGACTCACCCGTAAATCTTCTATGTAGATGCTTGAAGTTTAGCAGAACTATGATTAATTTAATATAAGGAGCAATTTAGCAGCAGGGTGCGTTTCTATGTATGTGGCACCACCTTGCACATCCCAGGCCACCATTCCTCACTGTTTTGTAAAGATATTTCACCAAACTGGATGGGGTGTGAGGGGGGATGGGAATGAAGGACTCAGTCCTGTAAAATGTGGAGCGCAAGGGTCCTAGTTCAAAAACAATTGAGCATTTGTTCTGTCGTAGAGCATATGAACATCACCTGGATTAAACAAAAAATAGTTCATTTGTTTGTTTAGTTTTTTGTTGTTGTTTTTTTTTAATATTAGGACCAGATCATTCAAAATGTAACTTAAGTTTCAGAGGCCTGATTCAAGCTAGCAGAAATTATTTGTACCTCCGCTGTCTCTCCTGGAAGACAGGATTTCTTCAGAGGCGAAAGGCAATGCCATGAGGAGAATCAGATGGTCATCTCCAGTGTCATACAAAATACTGTTTTAATGAATTCCCTGTTTTTTCTTGGAATTATTCTACCCAGTTACCCAAGGCTCCAACACTGAGGAGTACTTGAACCTGCCTGATTGCTAATGCTGCAGTTACTGATGTCCACAGGCCAGGCTCTGAGCTGTGCACGTTTACATCCTGCAGTTTTTTCTCATTAATTTTGCAGTCACAAAAGCTAGGGGCTGAGAGGTAAGGCAACCACAAAAGTGTTATCGTTCACTCTTGAAATACACGCTTGTAAATTTAATGGTTTGTCATCAGTCTCTTCTTACCACTAACATCTTGTGGCATTGAAAGAATATCAGCTATGTTGTATCATTAAAACTTGTGTTTGGATAATTAAAGGCAATTTAAAAATGTAAACCAGTATACTGTTTATATCAGTTACAACAAGATGAATTCCTCCCCACTCAAAAGACTGCATACAGCCTTGCTAAGAAGCCATCACTGTCACTGCCAGGACCACCTGCCTTGTGGTATTTTATCCCTGGGGAAGTGGCCCCCATAAATCAATGCATCAACAATACACTAAGACAGCACAATTCAAGAAGCAGCTAAAGAGACTCAGGACTTGCCTGTTACAGTCACAATAAAAGATCATTCATTTTTCCATCAGCTTTTTGACAGAAAAGCTTAAGTTGGAGTTTTAAGCTGAGAGACAGAATTCATCTTCAAATTGTGTGCCACAATAGCTATGGAGAACCAGTTCTCCATGGACCTCGGCACTGAAGAAATCAATAATTCCCATTTGTTTTGTAAGGAAACCATGAACTTACTGTGGATTTATATCTGGATTAATCCTTTTCAGCTCCATGATGTCATCTATAGTTTTTTCAATAGCATCAGGGTGGACACTTACTGAAGTTTGCAGTCGCTAAAAAGAGATTTAAACACATATTAATTCTTATGGAAGCCATTATTCAATAGAAGTTAACAATGGTAAATTTGACACCTAAAAGCTTCTAGATTAAGAGTCCAGAAGACCCAACTCAATATATGTACACACCTATCAATCTGTTCAACCCCACTGACTAGTTTCAGAGCACTGGCCCTATAAGAAGTCGAGTCGCTTCGCCATGGCCTCGTAGTCTATCGCATTTCTGGGGCAGCTGCCAGTGAAGATGATCTGCACTGAGGCATTTGATCAAGAAAATCAGCTTCAGACCATCCGCCTAATTACACTGGCATTGCTAGCCTTCATTTGACACCCCCTCTTCCAACACATTGCAGTAACACAACAAAACATTTTTTCCTTTCTCTTGCATGTCATTGTAGAGATGACCCTGAAGTTCAGTATTCAAAAACCACAATGCCTTCCAAAAAATGGAGAGGTTGAGCTTTCTGGTGCTTTGTCTCAAAACTACACAACTGCTTAAATGCAGGCTTTTAAATAAGATTCTGCCTCCCTGTTTGTGCTAGAAGTATATTTGGAAGCACCACGCTGAACTATGAGCTATGTGACATTGTTTCTGCTAATGCTGAGGTAAGATTTTCAACATCACTGATTCTCGTGCTAAAGAGAAATGAACGGCTGAATGATGCTATTTAACATATATGCTTTGTGAGATTAATTTAGGTTAGCACAACCAGTGCTATAGTGAAAGGATAAGGTGAATTATTAACAAATTTAAAAGGAAAGCAAAGAACAAAGCTGTCTTGGCTATCCAGGTACTGCTGCCTTCAGCCTCTTTTATCCCCGTTTTCCTGACAAGAAAACCTGAGGTGTAAAGTGTGTAAGTCACTTAACTGACTGCAGATTACAGAAATTCTAAGATAGGATGAGGAATCAAGCCAAGAAACCCCGAATTACAACATGTCACCCTCGTCATCTCCTCCATGACCTGTTGTCCCCTTGATTCCATCAGTGCCTCAGTATGCCTGTCCCTGGAGCACAGGACACCCTCCCTGACTTTGGAAGATACCTGCTATTGCAGACACAGGACCCTCTTCAGTAGAAGATGGTTTTAATATAAAATCATATTAAACCTCAGAGTGATATTTTGGTGGTCAGCACACAGCAAACTGAACAAACCAACCGCACAGGACACAATAGAAACGGTGAATGATGTGATCTTGCACTCACCTTACTTTTTGAACCTTTCAGTGATGCCTCTGTAAGAGAACAGTATTTGAAAGCATTGTGTCAGACAAACTAAGTTTATATTGGATTCATTTAACAATTTATTTGTTTAAAAGAATGAAGTCATACTATTTTTAGCACATGCAGAAAGGTACAAAGGCATGCAGAGCTAAGTATTTTGCAGTTACCTATTTTCATAGTTCTGGCAGCTCCAGGTTTGGTATTGTAACAGATCCTTTGCAATTCACATCGACCTGTTAGTTTCCTGACCACGAATTTCAGGCAGCGCCACAAGCATTTGCAGTAGAAGTACAGGCATACCTGGACAAACATCCTGGCAAAAAAAGACGCCTGAAAATAAGAGTCCTGAGCAGAGTTTGTTTCAACAAGGTCACCACCCAAACAGAACATACTTCCTCACACCAAATTCCCATTGCCTAAGGACACCTCTAAAGCAAAAGCAGCATTCACACTGTAAACGATTATCCTGGTAAGTGTTAAATCATATTTTTTAGTCTTACCCAACAAAAAAAAACATGCACAAAGCGCCAGAACGGGAAGCACAGAATAAATCAACTCCAGGGTTCTCAAAAAAGTATTTCTAGAAAACTCTCTGTGCCCTAAAAATAAAAGGTCGTATAGTTCCTGTTAACGCTTTGGGAGAACAGTACTGCAGGAGAAGGGAGCACATTCACCCTGTTGTCATGGCTGCTGAGGGTCCAGGGAGCCACTACACCCTGTCTTAGCTTTGCCTCTGCATCCAGCAGCTCCAAGCAGAGTGGCTGGTTATCCTGACAGACATGAATCGACACTCCTGTCAGGTCCCTGAGAGTGAAAAGTGATGATTGAGGAAACCAAAGCTTCCCCGTTTCAGGAGAGAAGGTGTTTAAGAACCTGTCCAGAGGACTGACTGCTCTTCCCAAGATCAGCTTCTATACAGCGCTGATGCTGCACAGTTTCTCAAAGTACAGAACTGACAGTAAGCCAAGAAAGCCCTTATTTAGATACTGCATCCAGTTTTGAGCCCCAGCAATAAAACACAGACTTTGACAAACTCGATGGATTTAAGAGGAAGTCCCTGAGATGGTGGGGCTGGAGCACCAGACCTGTGAGGAAGGGCTGCAGGAGCTGGACTTGTTCAGCCTGGAGCAGAGATGGCTTTGGGGGGACCTAACGACAGCCCCCAGTGCCTGTGGGGAGGTCATGAAGGAGGCCGAGCCGGGCTCTTCACAGCGGTGCAGGGCAGGAAGGCGAAGGACAACAGTCATAAGCTGAAACATAAGAGGCTCAGCCTAGATATAAGGAGAAGCTTTTTCCCCATGAGGACAGGCAGGTAGTAGCACAGGTTGCCCAGAGAGCTTGTGTGGTCTCCTTCCTCAGAATTTATTAAGCCCTGAGTGGAAGACGCCCTGAGCAGCCTGGTCTGACCTCAGAGCTGACCTGCTGTGAGCAGGGGGTTGAAGCAGAGACCTGCGGAGGTCCCTCCAGCCTGAACTATCCTGTGATTTGAACTATCCTACCAAAGCCTGAAAGGCTGCGTACATGAGAAACGCTCTATTTTAAAGTTTGTTAGCATTGCAGCTGCTACCAAAGCCCACATACTGCTACCGCAATCACAATACCCCCCCAAAACACAGATTCCATGGGCTACAACTTATGTGGATACAATTTAGTTGTCTTGTTTCTATGGCTATGAAGGCACAGATCCTGGCATGTTACCCATCTGTCAACCTCCAGGGGATGCACCAGGACTTGAGGTGGCGGGCAGGATCCACCCGGGGCCCTTGGGTTCAGAAGCACATCTCAGAAAAGGCCAATTGCAAAGACCTATCATGGGAGCATTGCAATCTGGATGTGGTCCTGGGAAACTGGCTGTAGGTGGCCCTGCTAGAGCAGGAGGGGTGGACTAGATGACCTCCAGAGGTTCTTTCCAACTCAAACTCTCTGTGATTGTATTTTACGATTATATTATAGGAAAATATAAATACAGCTTTGATATTCTAGCTTGCCATTAAATGGTCAAAAATAATTTGGTCCATTATGTTCTAAGTCTATATGTACCCATATTCATCATTAGCCCATTATCTCCTCCACATGCTGTTGATGCTTTCAAAGGACAGTTACTTGTTAGGAGACTCTGTATTATCCTTTTCAATGGAGTGTACTGGCTATTCTGAAATACTGAATTCCAGATACTCAAATCAGCTACAGCTTTAATAAAGCCTGAAGTGCTCCATCACTTCCTAAAGCATCCTGAAGGGCATGGTGTGGAAGGACATTCAGAGGAGGGAAGAAAAATTAACTCATGTTAATGTCCACACAGGAGTTTAATCTGCTTTATGTTCACTTTAGTTTAATCCCCTTTGAAGGAGGATTAAGCTAAGGAAGCTAAAGCCATTTTACGTCTAAATGGAGAGCATCCACACAAGTATTTAACATGCTTTGAAAGCATCCACTTTATTTTCACACTTTTAGTTAATTCACTTAACACTCCCAAACGCCAGCACACAGACAACCCCCTTGTCTTTATGCAACAGGAAGCTTCTATTTTAGATACAAAGTGAAACCTGAAGAATGAGGAATGACTCCCACACTAGAATCAAGTTTTAGACAAGAAAAATGTTTCAGGTCCTGACACTGAAATATTTGGGGTGTCCCCCACCATGATGTGCCAGAGCACACTTATGTGAGGAGTTTGTACATGCTTCACAGCAGGTGATTACCTTCAGTATTAAGAACAAGACCAGTTATCAGGAGGCAAGTCCATCATCAGCCAAGCAGCCATTCTTTAAGTTCCCAACAGTCAGAAGTGTAGTCAGGTAAAGAGCCGATCTCATATAAAGTCAACTAATGCCTTCAACCGCAGTCTTTAAAAGTGGCTTGGAAAAACCCACAGGCTAACACACTTTGGTTTTCCAGTAGACATTTCATATCAACCTTCACAGATTTGACTAGTCTGTCATCCCTGAAGAATCCAAACACAACCTACAGCTATCCCTGAACCTCCAGCTCTGTACTCAGGCTGAATGTCCAGAGAAATGAATACAAGAGATTAATGCTAAACTGGTACGTGGAGTATAGTAAAACAGAGTTCTGGGTTTTAACCATGTATTTGTAGTAGAAGTTAAACTTGCTTTCTTTTGGCCTGCTTTGTTTCCAAAGGTTTGGTCTCTGTTAGAGCAACTCACTACCCAGAGAACTCATTTATACAGAAAGAAGGGAGAAAAGACTCACTTAACTTCGTGTTAACAGCCCATGTCAGAAGATTTCCTTCTAATGAGCAAGATAGCTCCCACAAAACCCACACCTCATTTAAGAAAGTGCATGCTTATGCTTAATTGCCTCCAGAGCTGAAACACCACAACCCATTTCATTACTCAAAACCTTGTTTATTACTGCATTGTGTGATGTGGATAAATTTCTGGGCAGGGGGAAGGTGTTAGGTGCATTTGAATTATATGTTGTTGTCTTTAGGCTCAATGACAGAATCCCAAATCAAAGGAAAAACTCTAGAAGGGATAGAGCTGTCATCTTCCATGGTTGCAACCACCTTTCCCCACTGAAGTTTTGTGGTTTGCACAAAGATTAACTAATAAAAATGCATCTACTAAAAAAATGTCACTACAGCAAACAAACACTACATTTGTGATTCACTAAAATATACTTAGCAGCTATTACTAATAAAGCAGAGAAACATTAGTTTTGACTACATAGCTTACAGAAGAAAGTTAGCCTTTGTGGATACCTTCAGTTTTCTACTCATCCATCTCAAGCTTACAACAGTTGAAATCTTCCATTTGTAACAAGAACAGCATAAAAAGTAACACAAGTTTGTTTTCAAGGAGTTATTCTTTATAAAAGGGAATTCTTGCTTGCAGACGTTCTGTAATAAAAGCACACTAGTGATTAAATAAGACAACTTTTATTTTAGCTGCTGCGTGCTTCAGTTCATGTAAGCAAAGTGGAGACATGGGCAACTTTAAAACAAAACACAGCATAGCATGAACAAGAACCCACATGGAAGCACAGCATGAGCCACTTGTCTGACTACAGCACAGTGGCATTAGCTTCTGGTTTGTTTTAGGGTTTGATTTCAAATCTCCTCCCTACTCAATCTCTTCTGTGTTTTTACAGTTTTTTTCCTGATTGTCTTTGAAGGTTTTCTCAGCACAGAAAACAGTGTGCTTCACTAGCAGCTCGTGTAGTCATGTACAGTGATACTTCAGATCCTAAGGTGAGCTTTAAGAACACAAGTATTACAGAAATGAAGGTGTTCCTCACAGACTTGCATTCTATTCTTCCCAATCCCAATGCAAGCTCCTTCTCCTCCTCCTGTCCTACATGAAGCTCTACAGACCTACGAATTTGTGTTTATACATGCAAAGTGCATTACAAGAGTTCATATGAACATTCATTCAGGTAAAACAAAATAAAAACTGCATAATAAGATGCTGATGTGCACAGGCCTAATCAACAGGCAGTTGTCTTCGCATATGAAGGGAAACATATGCAGCCATCCTCCTATGAGAAGCCAGGGTTACACATTCCCCATTATTGATGACAATCGCTTGGACTTCAGAAGCTACCTGTACGTCTTGAGCAATACCAATGCAACTCAGCATAGTTCTCCCAACTTGGCTCACAGAAAGGGTCACTGAACTCTGAGATCAATACAACAGAAAAATCTACTCGTTACTTGAGTTCCAAGAAATCCAAAATCAAAACAACAAAATATTCTGAAATAAGTATTTCCTTGCATGTCTGGAGGACACTTACAGAATACTACCCAGTGCTTAAAGCTACCACCGCAATAGCCTGCAGTGCCACAGAAATGTAGTTTTCTTCTGTATAATTAGCAAACATCAGTTAAGGGCTGGTATATGCACCTATTTCACCTCTCCTTCTTCCTTGCTCTTCTACTTTTAACTCTTTCATATCTTCCCTGCTCTATGTCACTCTACTTCACAGCTCTAATTTTCTACTAAGAACAGCTTTAACCAAAAAAAGAATTAGGCAGTCAGTACCTTGCAAGGACTATCAGGAGTGTTGCAAAACCAAGCAAGCAACTGATCTATATCTGCAATAACGGCGCTCAGCAGAGCTTCTGGAGAGCTCTTTTCCATGAGGGAGTGCATGAAGAAAGGGGGTTCTACAATTGCTAGGATCCTTGCAAGACACAGAGAAATTTAGAGCCAAAAAGAGCACAAGGTAAGAGTAACACGGCTGCAGTCACAGCACTTCTGTTCTCCACAGCATGTGCTGCTCTGCCTGGGGTAAGAAAGCACAGGCAGCAAGAAGCCAAGAACTGAGTGCGGAGTTTCACATCCTGACATT